CTGGTGGTGTCGTTAGTTGCCACCAAGTTGATTCTGACTCGTGGCGACCCTGCGTGTTGCAGAGTAGAACTTGCTCCACAGAGCTTTCAAGGCTGTGACCTTCCAGGAGCGAACGGCCAGGCCTTTCTTCTGAGGTGCCTGTAGTGCCAGCTAGTAGTGAAGCGCTTAACTGTTGGTGCTACCGGGGACCTCCAGCTTTTTTTTCAAACAGAAATTTGCCAGGGTACTTCCTTCTTCGTCTAGCAATAGGCTTAGCTAAACTTTACAATGTGCGCAGATACCTTTAAGACTCAAAAGCATTTTAAGGTTCCAGGATGCTGCTGCGTACCTACCTGGTAGACTGAGGAGTTCCAGCCAGCCAGGGCACGTGGGGCTTGCCTGAGCTTTCCCTTACACCTCAGAGGAGACGTCTTGGTCATTCTGTGCTGTTCTCAGTCATCCTGCGCTGTCTTCGGTCATCCTGTGCTGCCCTCGGTCGTCCCACGCTGTCTTCGGTCGTCCCGCGCTGCCCTCGGTCATCACGCGCTGTCCTCACATTGGTCTTTCACAGGGGCCTCTATGGTCCAGTCCCTACTGATGCTCTTGGGAGGCTTCTGTGTCTCCTGCTGCCTGTGTCACCCGTCTGTGCTTCCTTGCTGGTGATCCTTTGTCCTGTCCCACCAAGCAGTCAGCCTATCCCTCTGCAGGGTTACGCCGAGGTGGGCGGCTGTGGTGTGACGGTCCCTCTCTTCGCAGGATGAGCAGAGCGCGGTCTCCATGTTGAAGAAGCACCAGATCCTGGAGCAAGCCGTGGAGGACTACGCCGAGACAGTGCACCAGCTCTCCAAGACCAGCCGGGCCCTGGTGGCCGACAACCATCCGGAAAGGTGAGTGCCGTTCTGGAGAGACAGAGCTCTTGTGTACCCAGGAGCATGGCGGCGCTCATCCTGCGTAATTGGTGAGGTCGGTGTTTGGGAAGAGTTTTACGAACTGGCCCGACAGGCCTGTGCTGATCAGGAAGG